GGGGAATTTGAATTAAGGCCTCGAAATCGCTTCCGAGTCACTTGGTGGCAGTGGTGGTCATGGCAACACAGTAGAAAGTTATTCACAACATCATAATTTCACTGTATGTTTTACCAGCGTCTATAGTGTAGCAGTTAGGCGTTTCGCAGTTGTATGCTGGAGACCCGAGCTCGATTCCCGAGCAAGGAAAACTTTCCATTCAGTATCTTAGTCTTTCTGCTTGGATGATGTATCCCTCTTAGTCAGGGTTGGCCCTGACAGGCAGGCTTGGAAGAGAGCCTCCTAAATGATCTAAATTGTGTTGATGTGGGCGTAAGAACACCAACATTTCAAAAACTCTCTTTGTTTCCTATTTTCATGTTGGTCTCAAAGGCACGCCATAAGTTTTAAAACACCCAAACTCGTTGTGCGTTGTGAGTATTTTGTCGGGTTCACCTTTTCAATAGATAATAAATATCAGCATCAGGTGTCTTGTCTGGAGCTGACATTGCCGGTTGTGTTCTCCATTCGTCTCTTTTACTCGAGTCCCTCATGAATAAGTTGCTGATCATTGTGTTACCAGTTTCCCAGGTATTCAGGCTATTTATGAACCTTGGGCTTTGGCTTCCGCGGCTCTTTTTCCCTTCGATTTTTCCAGTCGCACCTAGTTGTTCTAATCCACTTTTTCTGTATACACCCCTCATTTTGCCAGGAAGTTCAGAAACATCCAAAAGCCCATTTCAAGACAATTTTACTTTCTCTTGCTGAACTACATTACACTTTCCCTCTTTTAGTTGTGTGTGTTCTGAATACATGCGTTTATTCACTACAGAGCAAATCTTGACCCCCCTCATTAAATCTACATGTCAATAATGTTTTCATTCAAATGTCAAAAAATAATCAGAATGTCAATATCAATTATTGATTACTTCCTTTTTATCACATGTCGAACCAGCATCATCATCATCATCATCATCATCATCATCATTGAAGCATGCCCATTACTTAAAAGATAGAGTGAAGACGGCGCTGAGCCATGAAAATAAAATCTCTCCAAACATCACAAGTTTAAGAGT